AGAGGAGTGGATAACAGACTTCTCTCTAATAATCCAACCCACCCAAGCAGATTCTTTGATGAGAAGTTGGGTATGTGTGTAAGACTATGCAAAGGATGAAGCCAGTAGAAGACAGTCATCCATATAGAGATGGAAATTGAGCCTGCAAAAATGTAGGAATTGGGCAAATGACTAGACCATCCGACAGAAAGCATAAGGTGCTGATGCCAGCCCAAAAGGAATAGCTCAGAATTGATAAATGTGATCCTCATGGACAAAACGTAGATAATGACATGAAGCCCGTACACTAGAGATGTGAAGATAAGCATTGGACATTTCGAATTCCGTCATCCAAAACCCTGGATCTGAGGGACAGGTAGGATTCCATGGTGAACCGTGGCACATTGAGAAAGCAATTCAGATAGGAGAGATGCCAATACCTTATCCTCTTAGGGACAACAAAAAAAGTCTGGAATAGAATCCTGGAAGCACAGGAGAAACCTGTTTGATGGGCTCTTGAGTCTTGAAATGCTGGTGAGAAATGGGATCTTGAGGGGGAAAAGGAATTGGGACAGGAGATAAGGTAGGAGGTGTGAGGAAAAGGAAAACTCAAATGGCCCAAGAGTTTGATGAACAATGATATGCAAGCGCATGAGCATCTGCAGTATGTGGGCATGGCATACAAACCCCAACACGTAAATGATCTGCAAAATGTTTGGCATGAACCCCAATAAAGGGCAAAAGGGGGAAAAATCTCAGAACTAGGTGCTGCAGTTAATAAGGAAGGGGAGGAATCAAAGGACACAGGTGACAAAGACAAAACACAACATACCTGTAATATCAAGTCTACAAATGGAGACTGTGGTCTAGCTGCTTCAACAGGCTAAGAATGTGCCTGAGCAGCAAAGGAAGAAGAGAAGACCGTCCAAGTACACATCATCCTGATCTAAGACTTCAGTTAATGGCAGAATTGCTTGTAGATCAGAAGATCTCTCAGCCCACATGAAAGAAGCCATCTCCCAATAAACTATGACCAACACTTCTTTCTCTGATTGTTTGGTTGGTGTTTTATGGTGCAAAACAGCAAGGCTATCTGCG